TTCACCTTCTGAAATCACAACAATGATGACTCCGGTGAAGAAAAATTTCTCCATTAGACCGGCGGAGTTCTACGGAAACGGTCTTCCCCGACCTCGTTTCTTCGATAATCCTCAGTTCAACTCTCACCGTGTTGATCCTCCTCTCTCTGTTCTCGATCCGCTTCTCWCTTGGGCCAGAGGCGCTCACTGGTCCATGGGTGGCCTCAACTTCACGCGCCTCCGTCTCCAGGGTCGAATCGAAGGAAACGTCAACAAACTCCGAGCCCAGCTCGAGCATTCCACTCCTGTCAAACCCCAAAGTTCCGATGAGAAGAAAAAGAAGAAGAGATCTGGATCTGAGTCTCCCCCTGCGACTCCGATTGTGGTGAAACGGCGAAGGTATTTAGATCTGAACGATGATGATGATGAGATTAGATCGGAAGACGAAGGTGTGACTAGAATCAGGAGGAAACTCTCTGTTGATTTCGATCGAGTCGCTCAAGAGAAGGAGACCAATCCCACTAAGAAATCGATTGCACAGGAATCATCTGGGAAGACTGAGAAAGTGAATGAGAAAAGCTCAACGAGGACATCTCCAAGATTGGCCAAGCATACATCTACTTAGTTTTCATTTTAGCATTGTCAACTAAAAAAATCTCTCTTTAATAGTGTGTTTAGATTTTATGGTATAGTTCATGAAATGCAGCTTAGTTTTTGGATGTCTCTGGTGACTCTAAGAAATTGCAGATTTGTGCTTATGAATCTCTGATTTTAACTATGAATTTCTCTATGATTTCTCCGATTAAGTAACCTGAATACATCAAACTAATTACTCTTGAAATGACCAAAAATGAGAATCATATTTCGCTGCAAGTAAAAAAACCCAAAACCCAGTTTACATGTGATTCTCTCAATGTCTGTGTGAACAAAGTTGTCTTATTTTATCTTCCTTAAGACGTCCTGTGGCCTTACCCAATCTGCAAGATTGTTCAATCATCAATCTATACATGGAATCCTGTTTATGTGGAACAATACCAAATTCATCGTTGAAACCTTCCATTCCATGAATAGCTGCCACACCAATGTCCCTGCACCTGACTTCCTTCGCTTGGCTGATTTGTAAATAAGGTGACTTCTAGAAGGATGAGTCAACAGGATACACGTCACAAAGGAAGAAGCAGGAGGAGAGTGTGAGTAGAGAATATTTAACAGAGAGTTTGTTGCATTTTATAGGGGGTATCTAGAAATTGGATCAAGTGAGAGAGGGGAGAGGAAACCCCTAAGAATATTTCCTGTTTGTATACATTCTGGGAATTTGAGGAATAAAGCTTGATCGTATTATCTTAATTTACAGAGTTTACATACGTTCATCTTATCAGTGGTATCAGAGCTCATTTTCCGATCAAAGGGAAAATGGGTCCTAAACCAGATCAACGTTTGGTTGCTATGGAGACTAAGGTTAGCGATCTACAGAATGAGTTGAAGGCGTTGAAACTCACCTCGGAGAAAAACATGAGCGTCCTTGAGCGGATCGAGAGGAGGATCGTTGAGGTATCGGTGAATCAGCAACGCGAGAGGCAAGCTTCTCTGATGGGTGTGCCAGTGGGATCACCACAAACCAGCCCCACCTTTGGCCATCGCTCGGGAAAAGAGGTAGTTGGGGAAACGTCGATCTAAAGGGAGAACTCGCGAACGGGGAACACCGGCGGAAGCAACCCGAAGGAAGCATTTCTCCAACAGGTCTGGCGACTGCCTGAATCGCATCACGAACCGATGACGAGGCGTT